GGGCTCCAACTATGGATGGCACCTTTAAGCCTTAACCACAACCCAGACTAATCCCCGTTCACACCGGGTCGGCCCGTAAGGAGTAAAGTGCTGGCCAAAGTTACTTTATACACTTTTTTAGGGTCAGGGTGGATAAATAATAAATAAGCATATCAATATATGATACTCAACTCCAGCCATATATGTAAAGCTTCCAGCATCGTAGTGTAAACTTACCACATATGTATGAACGGTTAAAGCTCATTTATGTGCGTGTTGGTGACTGATCGTAGTACAGCATTAAACAAAATTAAGAAGTCATTTTATCAACGCGCATGTAAATAATTCTTGACTGTTATAATACATTGTGAATTACCGCAAATACGTCAACGTAATGGTCACCCAACCACATAGGTAGGGCGCTCCATTAATCAAAATATTGGCACCGTATTTTTGGTACCAAACCCTTACATTTTCTATATGTTTTGTTATTTAAGAAAGTCGGCTGAGGGTTGAGCTGTCACTGTTGCCGTCTCCTTTGGCTGGTGTATTATGCTTTTCAATACCAATTTGATTATTATTATTAATATTATTTTTCACATTTTGTCAAATATTTTTATTATTGTTGGGACAAAAAGAATTGAAGAAAAACTAAAGGCACCCGTTTGTTGGGAAACAAAATGACCCACCACCAAACCAAACCAACTGTTATACAGAGATCTACGTGGCACAAAACTACTGGGCCCACAAAATGGATTCCCGCCCGTTCGATATGGTATGGTTGCCTTCATTTGGAGAGTATGTCCATGCTTGTGTGCGTTTTTTTTTCTTCGGTGGTTGAGGATGCCAATTTTATTTTTTCCCCTTTTGGTTGGAGGGATGCATGAATTTGCACCAAATTTAAAAACAATAATTGATTTTTTTTCCTGAAAAATAATATAAAATACATGTTAAAATATAATATCTCTAGGACCTTCTAGCTTCATTTCACATATAAATCTCAAAATTATACCTATATATAAAATAAAACCTATGTTTATTAAGCATTTAGGATATGTCTTTAGGAATATGTTTGATGTGTCCTAAGTGGTGGTGATTGGGGCATTATGAGGAACAATATGGGTCCCACACAAGAAAAACAATTGTTGGGGAGGGATTTGCATAACTCAAGAATAGAACCTGCAACACTAACAATATAAATATTCTTCCTATGTTCCTTTTGTTTTACGTGTGAATTTTGCGTAGGTAGCAAGGAAGCATTTTATCTATATGTAAACGCTTTCAACCAACCACTCATTCCTAGTCATTTTGTAATATAAAAAACTTTATGTAACAAATTTTAGAGAAAATTAAAACCTTTGTATCGCCAGCACATTCTTATTCCTTTCCTAAGAATTTAACGTGCTTTGTTAATGGAGTATAACTCAGTTGGTTGAGTTCTTCCACCTCCACCAATGTGGATAGAGGTTCGAAACACCCTTAAGCCGCCTCCCCCAATTGCTTGTACTGAAAAGCAAAAAAAAATCCAAAGTGCTTTCAATATCCCTCATTTTTAAAGTAAAACATTTATTTAAAAGAATTATGAAAATGCTTATATGCATGCATGCATCACAAACTATTTTTTTATGTGTTAATGCCATACTTTAATAAATGAAAAAAAAAAATTATAGCTTCAAGATCATTATCAATGAACAATTTAAAAGTATTAATAAGAATTTTATATAAATAAATGGTTTGAATAAGTTGTACCAACCTCATATTGCATCACAAGATAGATGATGCTACGAAGCACCTTCAATCGTTTCAATCATGTGTTCCACAAGAATCCGAAAGGAAAAATAAATGGGAGTCGTGTATTAACATCAACATCTAATTGAATGTATTAATTTTACAATTCTTTTTGCACACATAAAAACTAATGAACAAACCATTGGATTCTGTTTAAATCAAGTCAAATAGCTGAGATTTGATATTTGAGAAAATGAGAGAAAACGAGGGGGAGAAAATAAAAGGAGAGAAAAGTTGGTTGGTCAGTCTAACCACGAATCTACTCATTAACCAAACATGTTGATATTTCTCTAATTTTGTATTTATATTGTCAAATAAGTATACAAATTTTCCGAAAATCGTCAACCTATCTATACATGTTCAAAGTCTTTACATATCAATTGATGACTCTTTATCCGTTCACACGGAATGACAAATATAGCTCTAATTCAAGCCACTTTTTTGCAACATGAACGAACCTGTATGAAGGCCGGTTGATAACTTGAAAGTCAAGGAAAAACTTATCACTCTCTACCGTCTTTCTTTTATTTATTTCTTCTTCTTTTTTGCATCGTCGTTGGCATTAGTGGTAAACGGTGGTGGGCAAAGAAGTAGTAGTGGGTTCAACATTCACAGCTGTAACTTTGTCGTCTTCTTATCTCCTACACTATATACTATCCTATTGGGATTTGAAGATTAGAGTGGTCCACAATCTTTCCTATAAAATTATTTTATTAAATTAAAAAATAAAAATAAAAACAGAGTGACAGAGAGATGTATAAGAAAAAGTGTGGTCCTGCCAGACCAGAACAAAACTTGAGAGAGAGAGATGATCGGGTGTGGTCGCTATCAATTGGTCCCCCCAACATGCTTGACCTTTTCTTTTTCTTTTTCCCCTGATGATCTTTTTCAGTGTCTGTCTTCGGTGATTCAGCCAAAATTGCTCCCAAAGTCAATCCACTGGCTAATCATCTTCAATTAACCAAAGAATCATTATATACATGCATGGATAATGAAATTTATTGTTGTGGCATATTAATTTTGACGATAAATTTTAAGTTGAAAGATGCTAGGAAAATGTCACATCTTTGTGCGGAGATAAGTTTTGACTGTTTGCTCAATATAGATGCTATATGTATTAACGGTCAAGAATTACCTACACGTGTGTTTGGTAATGATCATAGCATTGTGGTTTTTAGGATTAGGATCTCTTTTGATGTCTTAGACAGAGGACTAATGTGATTAAGAATTTTCATGGTTGCCCATTGATTGTATCAACAATCAAGAATTACCGACATTGTAAATACTATATATATCAACGGTCAATAATTACCTACACCTGTGTTCGGGAATGATTCGAGAATTGTAGTTTTTAGGGTTAAGATCACTGTTGATGACTTAGACTGAGGACTAATGTGATTAAGAATTTTCAGGGTTGCCCATTGGTTGGTTGATGGGATGTGGATCCTACGAGGAACAAATTGGCTTCATTGTTAGTTGGGGCCCTCTCTAGCTTGAGAAAATTGACACACCTTCCACAATTATGTTGTGGCCAAGGCTAGTAGTGGGTAGAGAATAGAAGGGCTTTGACACCTTTCTGCTCACAAGTTCACGAAAGATCAATTAAAATGTGACACCAAACAATATCTTTTCGTGTAATAAAACTAGCGACAAATATTACACTTTCAAATGCACATTGGCTGATCCAATAAGCGCATATTAATTACTCTAATCTAATGATTGATGGGAAGCATATTGTTTCATACTACAGTCACTCATGTTTGGTGATTGGAATTGGGCTGCATTATGAGGTGGGTTGGATCACATTGGATTAGAAAATATAACAATAATTCAATGATGTGTTGATACTACACACGATTCAGGTGTGAAATTAACTAAAATATGCTAGGCAACCCAGTTCCGGTTGTTTTAGGACACTAAACATTTAACTAGGATTATGAATCCTATTTTGCTCACCGAACAGGCCATATAAGTTTTATTTATTTATTTTAAAATTTTAACTATCCAATTATAATAACATGATGTGGCATTGCTCAATACCGAAAAAGTAAAAATAAATAAAAGCAAACTATACATGTATTTTGCTGAATCGTATGTGCAACATTTTCTGGGCAGCACTCAAGAATGGCGTTTACTTAATTTTTTTTTTTTTAAAATGCCTCTTGATTACTGTTTATGTTTTTCACTTTTGCCACATTAGAAGTTTCGGAAAGGTTACAATGAGGGCTTAAAGTGAGGAGGTTATTTGAGGAGGTCAAATCTCACCATTAACAAATGTAAAGAAATCATAGGACTTAAATATTTTAAATGTTTTGACAATTGGATCGGTCTCCTCAAATGGTATGTTGTTATGATCCATGCATGCTCAAAGTCTAAGGATTGATGTAAGAAACGTAAGCAGCGGCAAAGATGAAAATGCACGGAGAGTGAAAAAAAAAAATCGAAATGGGACTTGTATGGCCGAAGTGGACATCATTAAGATTGATAGGAAAACATGCTACATCAGCTCAGAATGTTAGTGAACAAGAGCCCATCACTATAATCCTGTACTTCTCTGAACCTCTCCAATGAGTTAGAACAGGGACCTCATTCAACTTCCTACAACCTTTGAGAAAAATCAATCCGGTTAGAACAACTGCCAGGCTGGGAGGAGGGCCGGTGCAAGATTGTTTATATACTCGACTCTATTTACAGTCAAAAAAACTTTCATCTAAAAATAACGCTGGACTGGGTCGATTAACATCATGAAATAAATCGGGGCCAAGATGCATGCCATTTACAGTACACATTTATAACTGCTTGCTGTCGGAATTCACATCAAAGTACACTTTTCCTTGGATTTTGCTTCAGGTCTTGCAGATGAGGACGTTGGCGTTCTGGGATTGCTTCTTGTCACCTGCAAAATTTCATTTGCTTGCTCTTAGATTCACATGCAGTCCTTCATAAAGAAAAATCTAAATAAATCCATCATTTGCTATGATTGATTGCAGGATCCAATTGTAAAGCAAAGATAAATGAAAATTAAACCCCCAAAAAGTATGCAGTCAGTCGACTTGTCATTGTAAAAAGCAAATGTTTTTACGTCAGAAAATGCTATGAAACGATCAACTAAAAGAAATATTTAAAAAGGATTATCCAAATTACCGTTGTACGGTAACTCTGAACAAGACAAAGTTAGCATGGAATTGTGGTAACTCTGTACAAGACAAAGTTGAAAAATATCCTTTTACAGAGGCAAAATTCAGGCCACTCTTGTTCAGAAAGAAACAGCGGTAATCATTGCAGTCCAAGGACAAAGGTGCTTAACCTTGTCTGAATCCACTTGGTTTCAAAAATTTAGGGAAGTATATTGCATTCCATTTATACCAGAAAACTGAATTAGAAAATCAGAGTCCAAAGAAGTCCCTTATCAAATGAAAATATCCATGTTTTCCTTTTCTTGTGTTCCTCACCCCTGTTCCTTTCTTTAAAAAAAAAGAAGGAAAAAGAAGGAAAAAGAAGGAAATTTCTCTAGCAGATTACTCGAACCTTTTTGGGAATCATAGTTCAGTCATGAAACCCACTAGCTACAAAATCCCAACATATAATCGGCAAAAAACTGAGGTGTAACACTAATGATTAAACAAAAAAAAAATTATACCTGGGGACCCGTAACCATCCTTGAATTCCCACTAATAGATGGTTGCTGCGAATTTTGTCGTTGGGGTTGTTGATCGAACTCCTGCTGTTGCAGAGCAATTGCCAATTGCAGATCAGAACTGGCACAACACAAAATTTTTACAATATTAGTAAATTTAAACTCAATGGCCAAACCGTAATCTTAATTAGCTAGTTGTCACTTGTCTAATGGCAGAGAGAGAGAGAGAGAGAGAGAGAGAGAGAGAGAGAGAACTGTGCAACCAGTTAGTACTTTTCAATAAACACTATTATCATCATAATGATAATTAAATGACAAAAATGTTTCTTATTTGGCTATTTTTGCAGGGATGGTCCTTGAAATGTGATCCAAAAGTTGACGGTTTGGATCACAAGATCACATTGTAGGGGTGGGGCCCAACAATGTGGTCCTTTCTTTGCTTGAAAAGAAAGACCCCTCTTTAGAAGGGGATGCTAGGTATATATGTAACTTAAGCAGCACACAGTAACCCAGCATTCAAACAATGGTAATATCACTAAAACTTCATTTCTCATATGGCTTTAAACTACAGAATGTAAATCAACTTCTGATCGGCAACTACAAGCAAATTAAAATAATTACTTCATATCAAAGCCCGCTTGAGCTGCACTGTCGATGCTAGCAAGATAGTCCTGAAACATTTGATTTCATTTTAGTATCTTGGAAGCAATTGTGAACAGACTAAATATATTAATAATAAAAAGGTACTACATACCGCAGTGGTCGTGACAGCATTGTTTTCATCCCAAGTGTCATTTGCATGACTTTCTACCTTAAATTCCTTAAAGTTTCCTGTCATAAACAATGTATCCCCATTGACCTGAAAATCATAGGGAACCATAATTAGGATATTGAAGGGTAGAAAGAGACAAAAACAGATACTAAACAAAGTGCATATAAGAATAATACTAGGAGTTCCGAGTTTAAAACCATACTATTCTGAAACCATCTCTCTTCATTTGGAATCTTTATATTTATTTCTAAGGCAAAAGATAGTGGAATTGCTAACGAACTTTTTAAGCTAACATTTCAGCTAAGAAACAGAAAACCAGCCAAGTCAGGCCAGTCAGGTTCCTCAGGTTCACCAGAAAAATCCCCACTTCTAGATTACCCCAATAGTCCATCAAACATGGAGAAATCAACAAAGTTTAGATATTTCCCTCAAAATGCATTGGTTCAACCATAAGATAAATTAACATAAAACACAGCATCTCTATGTACTTTTGACTGGGATCAAAACCAGTGGCCAAGCTTTAAATAGTTTGATGCATAACAAAATCCTTGACAAAAAAAACATAGGAATTACAGATTTTACCTCATTTAGCTTTTCCCACACCAAATCAGGCTGATTTATGTAACCCTGATCAGTAGCCAAAAGATAAAGTTCGCCATTGAACTGCAAATGAAATGAGATCTGTTGAATATTCTTTACAAAGGAAAGAAAAGGATGTGTTTCGATCAATTTTATTTTCCACCAGATATAAGTGTTCTTGGAAGTTCAATAGAAAGCAGCACGGATTATTTAACTTCCACAGCCTACTGACCTTAAACATGGTGCTGAAGTGATTATTGCGGAAGAAAACGCAGAGTTCACGCTCTTTAAGGCCATCTTGTAAGCAGAAAAGGCTTTTGAAAAAAAAAAGAAAAATAATCACAATAAACAAATGGAGAAGATGGCAAAATCCATATTGAATGTAGGACTTAAAAATTTCAAACAGTAAGCCAGCATACCCATAGAAAGTCAACTGGCTAGCATTGTTCTTCAAAAAATTCCTGATCAATTCACCTGAACTCAATTTGCAATTGGAATGGGAGACATTTTATATCAGAATATTAAAAACATTAACTGAATGCATACGAGGTAACAAATTACAAAGGAATGACGACAAGATCCAAAAATAATCATTTCTCCCCTCTGATATCTTACAGTACTCACCTTGTTGTGGAGTGATTTCACCCATGGACCGTGCATCTAAAGGGCTTTTGTCAGCTTGATTCGCAAGCACCACCTCACCTTCATATACAGGCTCTTTGTCTTGCAAAACGGTAGTTCCTGAATCCAGAATGCGCTCCTCTCCTTCATAGATGGGCTCACTGCCACTCGATGTCAAAGTTTCCGATGCATCAGTTTGCTGCACTCTGCCACTAGATGAATCCAAACCCACATTTGGAGCAGATAAGCAAGATGCCTCTGCCATGTTGCTCCCATTTTGCTTATCTAGACTTCCATGAGTATCAGTTGTAAGCTTGGCCTGACTCTCAAATTTCTCATCTCCTCGTGAAACATCTGTATGGTTCTCATCCAAGGACTCAGTATCTCTCCCAGGAAAAAAAGAAATACCACTTTCAATCTGGACTGATTCATTTGTAGTGCTTTTCGCAACCAGATCATTGGCAAGATGCTCTTGTGATTTCAGATAAGTTGGCTGATCAATATTTTCTGCCTTATTAGTCTCCAAAGGTGATGAACACGCTGTTTGCCCGGGAGTAGTATCGAAAGATATCAAATTAATACTCTCATTCCTGGAGGCATTGCAATCTTCTGGTACAGACAGATCAGACAGATGAATATTATTGTGTTCGGCAGTGTGCTTCTCTGTTTTATCTACAGAATCTACATGCATAACATTCTCGGGATGCGTACTTCCATCAGAACCAACCAACGGAGGGGCATTGTCAGTAGTGGCTCCAAGAGGATCACCAACTGTAGTTGTCAGTTCACCCTCAGACATTTTTAAAGCCATTATCAACTCTGCTTCTTCTTCAAGGTCACCTTTTCTTGCCTTCGGTTCATCAGAAGCTGAATGTGGAGACTCATCAAAAGATCTAGTTTTAGAAAGGCATGGTGAAGGGACACCCAGGGTTGCAGTTGTTGCAGCCGCAAAATCAACGCAATCTTCTTCTGAAGTATTCTTACATTCACTCTCCATATTCCATGTTTCCAGTGCAACAAGCTCCCCCATAAGAGCATTATAGGATTTTGACCCAATTGCATTAGCGGTATCATCATCCTGGTAAACATGCATGAGCAAATTGAATATCAAACCAAAGGCCATTAAGTAAATACCAGATAGCATATTCTTCCACATAACTCGGCAAAACATTCGAATAAAAAGATGATGAAAGGAAGAATACAATGTTACAAACCAGTGAATAAAGCATGCATGCATTACAGCCTGGTAGCCTGCTGACAACATCAATGAATTCTCCCAACATCAAAAAAATCAAAGTAGCACCAGAGCATATACTTGTACCAATAACAAGTTGCCCACTCCAGAAATGAGATGCACCAACAAAGGAAAAGCATATAAAATTGTCAAACTATATGCTGTTTTCCCCCTTCAGAAATTCTCAGAGATCAAATGCTGTTTTATTTCCAGTTATGTTGTGCTATATGATCTAACTACTAAATACCATCCTATTGCTTCTAGAAAATACTACCAGACACCACCTTAGCAATACATACACAATGTTCTTGTTTAGGCAAAACAATTGGGCCCATCTTTGTGGGGAGGCATGTGATAGCCCACTTTGTCATTAGCTATCTTTATATTGTAAAGGCACACTTGACAACCACTTTATAGGCACATGATGGAAAAAAAAAATTAAGAAGTCAGGCATGTGATACCCACCTTAGTCATCTTATGAAGATAGATGATGTCTTTATGTTGTAAAGGCATATGATAATCTAGTTTACATGCATGAAATGGTCATTCAAGGAAGCACAAACACAAATTTATTTACTATTGTTTTTTGTTAAGTTTCTTTTACGTTTCTAAGTTCTTAATTATATTTTCAAATTATATAACAAGTTGGGCCTGATTATCAACCATGCTCAGCTTGAGGGCGACTCTTGGGAGCATAAAAATATATTATAAGTAGGAACTAAGAAGATTTGCTTTCCTAGTTTGTTTAGGGTGTAAAGTAGTTTCTACTTCGCATAGCATGGTTGTGACTTATTTTCTTGTAGTGAAGCTGTCATTATGGTTAAACTCTATTTAAACCCGGTTAGGCTTATGATTAATCTATATAATTCTCTTCCCATTTTCTCGATAACTATATAATGTGAGAACAACCATTTACGGTAACAAGTAGAAAGCCTACTACACCAGGCTCAAAAGCATCGAGCATCAACCACCAGCAACCATCAGAAGTTTTGCAATAAGCAAACTTAGTGCTTCAGTAACTCTACTCATGCTAAATAAGGCTTGAGGACTAAAGGAGCAAACCTGGGGGTCCACTATCCAACCATGATATAGTGGAATGTCTAACAGGTCAAATATGGCACATTCTGGAGTAAACTCAAAATCACCTATCCTGCAATCAGTAGGTAAATTTCAATTAAATTAAAACTCACAAAGTAGATCATCACAGTAAATTACAGGTCGAAATAAATAAGGACAACCTTCTGAACTTTATGTTGACATCAATGCCTGTTGCAAGTCGAGGGAGTAGATCGATGGCATCAGCAATGTTCTGCTGTTGATTTTCTACATATCCTGCATCTTTATTCTACAACACAATAACAACCTTGTTCACTTTAATTTACACAAAGAAAGAGAGAAAATCAGAAGTGTTCATGACAGCAAATTATTATTTTTTACATCAATATTACTGTTAGAATCAATTAATCGTTCAGCAATGAGCGAAAGCAGTTTCTCCTGTGAGACTTCTGTCGTGTCTGGACTCAAATTCAAGCTGTTCCTCAGTGAGAGAACATTACCTGTAAGAAAATCAAACACAAACCAATAAAAGTAGGCATGAGTCCTTTTCCTTAATAAAACACTAATATTGGCATGGATGTCTTTTCTTATGTGCATGTCACAGGGTTATTCACGTTCAACTTAACTTGCATAAGAAAATATAACATACAAGTATGCATGAACTTTGTAATTGATCATAGGCCCGAGCTCATGAAACAAACAATTTTTAGCCAAATGGCAATGGCACCTTAGATTCATAGAGTTTTTCATTCAATTTCCGCAGATTTCACAGCAAGCAAAAGACTAATGCCGTGCTATTCCGTCTTGGCTTGATAACCAAATGGAGTATTGTTTCAATTGAAACATCAAACCAAGTAGCTGATCAGATTATGTTATATTTACTATTTTCCCAATTATCAAGCTGCAAAGTTCTGTAAAAGTTGAAAAGCATAATTCAAATTATTCCTGATGTTAACTAGCAAAAACCTCATAACAATGCATATTTGATTAAGGTCCAAAACTGAACTTCCTTAGGTTTCTTTTATTATTATTATTTTCAACAGCAAGATTGACAATCAGAAAACCCTAGAAATGAACTGGAAACTCATAGCAGAACCCTCCAATGTCTAGATACAAAACAGGATTAGGCAACGTTTGTAAGGATCAAATACCAATTTTAGATTTTTTTTTTTTTAAAGACAAAGAAATTGATGAAGAACAAAATAATTCGGAGTATTTAGTGATCAAGTCGGTACTTTCTTCCATATTTGTTTGCCAAAAAAAGGCATACGAACAATAACCGAATTTTCGAATCTCAATTCGACTACACTAAACACAACTGCAACTCCCACTAGGACAGAAACACACGCAACAAAACAAAATTGAGAATCAAAATTCAAATCTCTTAATCATTTCCCCCACTTTCTTGGCAACCAATCAATCCAAATTCCAAAGCAAGAAAAATTCGAAACCGAAACCCTAAACGAGCGAGAGAGAGGGAGAGAGATGAATTACAGATTGCCAGAAGAGGGCAGGGACCATTGTCGTTCTGGAGGACGATAGGCGCCGAACGTCCCAAGAATTGGATGAGCTTCGTCTTGTGCACGCACTCTTTCACTGGTTGTTGCTGCTGCTGCTGCTGTTGTGGTTGTGGTTGCTGCTGTTCTTGGCCTTGTTCTTCAGTCGATGACGACGCCATGGCTCTAATTGAGGTTTGATCACCACCTTCTCAATTTTTCTGTTCGTTCAGAGAGAGAGAGGGTTGTGACTTGTGAGCATTTACGCATTTTTGTTTGACGGAAACGCCAGAGCAAGTTCTGAATTTTTCTTTTCTTTCTTTTCTTGAATAATTTTTTTGTTGAATTTTTATATTTATAAAAAATCTTTTCCCAATTTCTTATTATTGAAAAAAAAAAAACAAAATGAGTTTCCAATTTTGTGAGCTAGAAAAAATGGAGATGACAACGATATCAAATTATTCTTATTAGATACTAAGATTAATTAACTTAAACACACTATCAGACCAACCAAATAGAAAACACACACAACATGTGTGGCCAATGGGGTCTAATCGGGTATAAAATAGCTTGAAAAAACTCTTTTTTGTAGTTTAAACTATCTCTTGTATTAAAAAAATAAATACACTAACTCCTATGCCACCACTATTTGTGTTTTTGTATCATTGAAACTCCTAACCATATGGAATAGGCTTTTTTTTCTTTTTTCTTTGAAGTAAGGTCGAATTGAAACTTAGTACTTCTTTCAACATTATGATATGATCGGTCAATATAGTAACATTTATATAAATGCCGACATTTTCTAACCTAAAAACAAGGGTCTAATTAGTAAGTTTAAGAGGGTGCTTCCATGGTGACTTCATAAAAGGCCGTCATTCAAATGTGAGGCAACCACCTTGAGTCCCCATCTCTACTGTGGCTTCATTCTCATCTATGCTTTGAAGAGTAGTGGATCTTTAGTTCGTACAATTTCCTTCAAGATGATCTCTAGTTCTTACATTTTCTTCCTAACAAAAATTGTACATTTTCTTTCATTTCCATACTAAACATCTTTAAATTTGTTTCAATAAATAATTAGGTATGTATCAAATGAGTGTTAGTTGGATTGGCCAAGGCCTTTGGAGTGCTTCCGAGTAATCTTGAGTTCAAGCCCCCATAGTACTCGTATTTGTGAGTTTTCTCTCTCTCTTCTTAATTTTGGCAAAATAATAATAATTAGGTATGTTAATATCATTTATTAGTAATAAATAAGATTTAAAGTGGACCCGTAGATATTTATTAGTACTAAATAAGATTGTTGCACATATTTGTCTTTTTCTTTCTAAACGAATGTTTGATTCCTCCAAATAAGTAAATTTTTTTTACGAGGCACAACTATAAATTCCAATTTATTTGTTAGGGAAACGTAGCCACATGAGTCTGCAAAACTTCTATTCGTCGGTTTATCTGAAGCTTGGTCTAAAATTCCTAAATAACAAAGATATATCATATATCAGACCTGCAGTTGAAAGTTTTTGGGTTAGTTTGATGCAGTAAAATTGAAGTTTCTGCAGTATATGAATTCCCAGTTGGTAAAATCGAACACCCTGTACAAATGCAAAAGCGTGGCTAAAAACTAAGAACTTAAAGAAGTAAGTTTTGTTTGTGTTTTTTTTCCTTCGGTCAATACTTAAGGAGTAAGTTTTGGTTAACTTATGAAGATTTGAGTTTGTGACCAGGCTTTGTACAATTTGTAAACTTCGCTGTCGACAAGGCAGGTGTATTATGGTATGTGCTGGCAGGGCAATCAAGTACGGCAATGTGTCAACGGCTGAAAAGTTTGGCACGGAGAGAAGAAGACATTATGGAAGTTAGAGTAGTCTGCAGGCATGAGAATTTGAGGGACACTCCTTGTAGGGCCTACTCTGGATTGTATTTAACTAATCCAAACCGTGTATTTTGTAAATACTCATTCAAAGATCATCTCTACAAAAAATCACTTGAATCCGATATCATATAACCACTCAATTGAGTTATTGAAATTTTAGTACTTTCTTTAAGCATCCTGTTTGTTGATTTTGTAAGACACAATTGGATGTCGAAACGGTTTCCGATTTGTCTAATTTTTTGTAAGGATGATCTATGAATGAAGACCTAAAAAATAGATAGTTTGGATTATTGAGAAAAAAATTGTAAGGTACCCTAAAGGGCGTCCCTCAAATAATTTTATTTGATGGATCCTTCAATAAAAGGGGACTGTATATATATACACCAAAAGGGGGCTAGAACCAGCAGAGATAGTTATGAAGCAGACATAATAAAACAATTTGAATTTGTGCATGAATTTAAATAATACAAAATTAGTGAAACACCCATTCCTAGACATGAAACTATAAATATACCCTACACTATTTAAAATATAGAAACACACCCAAAAAATACCAAAAACTGACAACTGTTACATTTTTTAGTTTAATTACTTAAATGAAATACCTTTATTACCCATTTAGTATTAAATTAGTTTTTTTGAAAAATTTTAGGCTCTCTCTCTCTCTCTCTCTCTCTCTCTTTTCTCTCTCCCTTCGCAGAAACCAAGCCTAGGCCAACAATCTTGGTGCTCCAGCCACAGCCAGCAGTGACAACGATCGAAAAAGGATCGGCCAGGGCCAACGATCAAGTCTGGGCTAAAGCCCACCCACATCAGCCATTGACGACGCTGCTGCAAGCTCAAAAAGGTCTGTGAATTTCAATTTTTCTGACGTCGTTTTCGATGACTCCGGCTGTTGTTTCCGTCGATCGAGATATGAAACTTTATCTAATTTTCGTGCTCAAGCTGTTTATGTATGTGTTTAGGATAGATTTTGGAGTTTTGGAAATTAATCAATACATCCTAGTTTGATCGACGGCTTTGGTAGTGTTCCGGATTGCTTCGACCACTTTTTGACCGGGGTCCAAGACCAAAAATTACTCCCCTTCTTAGTCTGAATATGTTGGTATAGGTATTGTAGGGACTTTTTCGATTTCATTGTAGTCTGATTTGGGTGATTTCATGTTCGATTAATTAAGTTGCTGGTTAAGTTTTTATAATTTTTGCAGCTTTGGAGTTTAAATTTGAAATGTAGATCCAATTCTTCTTGATTTTATATGTTTATTTTTGTTATTGTCGATTTGGAGATAAGCTATTGGATTTTCTAATTTCGTTCTAATTTGTATTAGATATTCGTTTGAGTTTTAAATTGTGATTTTAATTTCTTTTTGTTTATAACTTGGATTGATTTCAAATTCAGTTTGGTTGTGGATTTGCTTTTGTGTTTTGGTTTGAGCTGTGTTACAAATTTGTGATATTTGATTATGTTATCATATTAATTGAGGTATGTTTTTTTTCAATTGAATCTGAGTATATTCGTGTTTTTTCTGTTTATGCACTATTGGTTTTGAGTCGACTATAATTTATTGTTAGGTAGCAGTGCTATTACCTTATATTGGAACTTTATAGATATGCATTAGAAATAGGATTTCATAGAAAACAAGCAGTGTTATTACCTTATACTAGAACTTTACAGTGGTAAACATGCATTAGAAATAGGATTTTATATTAAACTAGCGGTGTTATTATCCTATATTGGAACTTTACAAGAGGTAAACATGCATTAGAAATAGAATTTTAGAGGAATCTAGCAGTGTTATTACCCTATACTGAAACTTTGCAAGAGTAGACATGCATTAGAAATAGGATTTCAGATGAATCTAGCAGTGTTATTACCCTATATTGGAATTTTTTACAAGGGTTAGACAGACATTAGAAATAGAATTTCAGAGGAATCTAGCAGTGTTATTACTCTATAATGGAACTTTACAAGGGATAGACATGCATTAGAAATAGGATTTCAGAAGAATCTAGTAGTGTTATTACTCTATATTGGAACTTTACAATGGTAGACATGCATTAGAAATAGGATTTCATAGGAAACAATCAATGTTATTACTATGTACTGGAATTTTATAGTAGTAGACATGCATTCAAAATAGGACTTCATTGGAAACAAGCAGTGTTATTACCATATACTGGAACTTTACGGTGGTAGACATGCATTCCAAATATGATTTTAGAGGAAACAATCAGTGTTATTACCCTATACTAGAACTTTACAGCCATTAATCAACATGAAAGCAAACTAGCAGTGTTAAGAATGAGTATATGACTAAATATCTCTTTCTTTTTTGAGTTGCTGAAAACCGACTATTTTATAGTCAATACAGTTAGTCCAATAGTGAAAATCCAATATAGTTTCAAAATTTTGTCTTGGATTCGAATCTAAAATATTGTTATTACCATAAACTGGAACTTTACAGCAATTAATCAACATTACAATAAAGGTTTGGTTTTTAAATGTCTTACCTTTGAAGCCTTTTCTTGTTGAAATTGTTCTCTGAAATTTTATCTTTGTTTTGTAGGTGGAGGTTAGTGTGTGGTGTTGGTTTTTGAAAGTAGATCAAGCTTGGTGGTAGTTATGGAGTTTCAGTTTGTATAAATATTGAAGACGGTGAAACGAAGAGATGTTTTGCAGAGATGGTTTAATGAAGATGCATGCTTGAAGTTACTGTTTTCGAGACAGTTTTGTGTTGTAATAAAATGTTTAGAGTTTTTGTAACAAAATAATAATAATAATAATAATATTTGGGCTTTTTTATAAAATTGGGTTGGGCTTGTTTTGGGTGTTTTTTGAGTTTTTTTTTTCTGTTGGGAATCAGTGGCAATCCTATAATTTATAAGAACTTCAACATCAATTTCTTATATAGTAAATGAAATTTGGTTGTGTTTCTAAAATGCATTCCGTGTGGTTTTTTTATTTATTTATAATTTCAGCTCATATTTTGGGTATATTAGTGAAGCTCCCTTTAAATAATGCATATAAGAACATACTGAAAATATCAATAATTGAAAACATAATTTGAAAGTATTGTACTTACAAAAGTCTTCTTTTATTGATAGATAAACTTAGAATTTACATTGGTAGTTTTCTTGAGGGAGTCTCAGAGAAAACTTTGATAACTGAGAAATTTAAAATTACATTCTTCTTTCAACTGAGGCCGAAGCCTGCTTAAATAATCTACTAACTCAACTGAGATAATTATAAGTAACTATGGTAAGCAACTATGGTAGCCTTGGATGCTTCTAACTGAAGAGGCACGGGAATTTGGCTGGTACTTTTACTTTTCATCTTTTAGCTTTTACGAAGTAACTTGTCGGAGAATAATGATTGTAGAAGCACGCAAAAGCAGTGAATGCTTTAACTTTCACTTTCACCTGGGCAACTTTACCTTCTCGGCTGCTTAGTCAGAATTTAA